GCTTTGCCCCATTGCTCTCTAAAAAATTCCTTTCCCTTCTGAGCATTGTCTAATTTTTCCTCGAGAATTTTCACCTCCTGCAACAAGGAGGCTGTTTGATCCTGAGTTAAAGATCCCTTTTGATACATTTGTAGTTCATTCATCTGTTTACTTATCGATGATTTCAGATTCTCATTTTCGTACGATAGTATCTCCACTTGCGCCTCTAGAGCAAGTTTCTTCTCCTCAAGTTTGACGATCTGCATGAAACACAGTTAGCCCAGTCAATAGAGCTCAAAAAAGCCGCTGAAATGGAATTAATTCCGGAAAGCGATTTCTTTTCTTTGACTGTTTTGGAGGGTCATGGGTAGTCTAAAACCGGATTTTCGGGATTCTAACCCTGGAGCGTTAGCCGCCATTTTGATTAGAAGGTTGATTTTGTAAATATCTCGCTTATTTTCAACTTTAGAGTAAAATTGGTAATAATCAAACTTGTAGAAAATTTAATACTCTACAATTTTGGTCCTTATCATTTTTCACCTAGGATCGATATTTTGGGTCTTAGACTCAAAAGTGGGGGGTAAAATTTTATTATTTTTTTTTAATTTTTTGAATAAACGCGCCATAAACTCTACCCCCGTGGTGATGTGGAAAAAATGTTTTTCATTATACCAAGTAAATTCAAAAAATAAAAAAAAATAATAAAATTTTACCCCCCACTTTCGAGTCTAAGACCCAAAATATCGATCCTAGGTAAAAAATAATAAAGACCAAAATTGTAAAGTATTAAATTTTCTACAAGTTTGGTTATTACCACTTTCACTCTAAAGTTGAAAATAAGCGAGATATTTACAAAATCACCCTTCTAATCAAAATGGCGGCTAACGCTCCAGGGTTAGAATCCCGAAAATCCGGTTTTAGACTATTCATGACCCTCCGAAACAGTCAAAAAAAAAAATTGCTTCCCGGAATTAATTCCATTTAAATGTCTCTATTGACTGGGCTAAGTGTTACATGTATATATCAATATTTAATAGTACTTTTAAGCGCATGATAAATTACGGATGCAGAATCAATCAAAATGTAATGCAACTGAAGTGTACTTCACAAACCTTTGTTGTAAGATCGCTTTGCGTCGCTTGCAA